TTAGTTTTTGCTGACCCTCATCATTCGAAGCTTCGTCGGAGGGCGCGCCTGGGCTATCGACAATGATGCGCTGGAGAGGGCCTTTTCTCCGTTCCGTGAGATCATCAAATCGAAGAGCCGTTTGATGCATGTTCTCTCTCTGCTTCTTGATCTTTTGTTTCTCTATGTTACTTGATCTTTATCTCCCAAAGATTGAAGATCGATCAATTCCTTTCCATTTTTGTTTATTATTGTGTATTTGTTTGATTATACTCCAGCGTTTTTGTTTTGATGGACGGATCTGATTTGATTTGGTTTCTTTTTGTGTTTCCAGATCATCAACGACCTAGAGGTCCAGGGGCTTCGACTTCGTCACCTTCAACAACGAGAAAGCCATTAGGGATGCGATCAAAGGCATGAACGACCAGAACCTTGACAGCCGTAACATCACCGTCAGCGAGGCCCAGTCTTGTGGAAGCGGCAGTGGTGGGAAAGGAGGGTACAGCTCCGCAGCGGAGGATATGGTTGCGGGCATTCACTTCACTAACTGCTCCAAAGTCCAGTTCGCCATGAATCCGTATCATTGCTCAGCTCAGCAGCTCTTCTGTCTCAACCGTCAGTCAGTAGTCCTCCTTCCTTTCTAGTTCCTAGCTATAATTGAGATGCTATTGCTTTACCTTGTTTTGCCCTTGCTCCTTACTTTATTGATGATGATTGATTTTGTCACATTAGCTGAAGCTGAAGTCGTATATGGTGCTAGTATTAACTATTGAATTTCATGCTCTTTGCATTCCTAATTTCTAACGAATATGCATCCTGGTTGATGATTATCTTAGACTGCTCAATATTTATTTAAAAAAATACTGTCATTTCCCCCATTTTGGTTATGCTTTTTGTTTCTCTTTTGCCTTGCCTTTTTCATGAGAGAAAGAAGAGATTGCTCTCCTAGGGAATTCAGACTAAGAATATGTATTGGTAGAAAACTTTATATTGAATAGATTCTGCTTGCAACAACTTATTTTAAATATTCCTATACAGCACATGGGGACTTGCACCAAACCAAACTTCTTCTTCTTCTCTTCTTCTTCTGTATATTTATTTATTTGGTTGTTATTGAGAGAGAGGGAGAGAGAGAGGTTGGGTTGGTGTGCGTGCGTGTGTGTGTGTGGGACTGATCTTTTATACAAATTGAAAAACTCTCTCTGTCTTTCCAGAAACTTTTGTTGGAAAAAGAATCCTCTGAGATTTCTTGAATAAAGTTTCAATAATGTATCACACTACTAGCTTTGCCATGCTATTATGTATTCTGGTGCCCCATATTAATCTCTACATATTTATCCGTTGACCACATAAAAATGACCTTTAAAGCAACAACTTTAGTTTAATTATTGTCATTTAAACATTTATCTATCTTTCTTGTTGCAAACTCATAAAGATTGGTAGGTCCATGGAGGTCCTGAAAAAGGAGATATTTTATTTACTTCATTGTGTAACGAGTTAACATTACAATATATGTAACCACTTAGCATTACAACAACTTTATATTGAAATTTTGACACGGGGAGTGAATGGTTTCATATTATCCTTATAGTTTGTAGTGAAATAGCAGACTATTCAAATTCTATGTACTATTTCACCTTATCAGTTATGCGCTTTGGGCTTATAATTGTTATCTGTGTTGTTCCAATTATTCTATTATGCTTAATTATTTTGTTCTTATTTCGTATTGTCAGATTTGGTGAACAACCTTGGTACCATTGCAAGGTCTAGCACCAAGGAATTTATGGAAGCCTTGGCTGCTGGTGCAGATCTTGTTGTAGATAAGGTCATTGTTACTACCAAGCACAATGATGATGAGCAGTATGTGTGGGAGTCGCTCTGATTCAATGTTTATGGTATGTGGAGTGATGAAGGATCAATTAATTATGTAAATGAAATGATGTAATTGATTTTGAGTGGTATGAAGTTGTACACTTTTATCGTACCGATTATGTAAATGAAATGATGTAGTTGTTAACTTCCAGTAAGTGGTATGAACAGTATAATAACTGTTCATACCCTGTAACTGAGTTGATTTTTATGACATAGTATTAACAGTGTACTTCTATGACATAGTATTAACAGTGTTTTTTTTGTGTGTGTAAAAGTATTTCCTTTTGTCTTTGCGATTGTATGTGGTGAAACTATGAACAATTGGAGGTGGTTTCTGCAAAAGACATCGGATGTCTTGCTGGGCTGTTATAATTTTTTTTTAATTTTTTTTGTATGAAATAATATTAACAATATACTTTTATAAAATTGTATTAACAATGTACTTCTATCACATTGTATTAACAGTGTACTTCTATAACATCGTATTAACAATGTACTTATATGAAATTGTATTATTAAGGGAGACTTATAAATAAACCCAAAATGGGTATAGTATTTATAAAGAGGGACAAAATTAAAGTGGTTGGACAATAATGCCCTTATTCATATCTAGATTTCCTAGGGAATCCTTCTGCTTCTGCTAGCCGGATGAAACCAAAATGTTTTTTCTTTTCATATGTTGCTTTGTACTGGCCGTATGGAGCCAAATAGTTTGGCGACTATTCTGCTGGATGGATTCTTCACGTGGTCTTCATGCATCCATCATGTTATCTATGTTGTGTAGCTCTTCTTCTCCTAAGCTATTCCAGTATGAGTTGTCATTATCTTCTGCTGTAATCTGTTCTGCTATCTGATTGTAGATTTCATCAAAAACTTTTGCTCCTGTAGTGCTGATCCTGTATTCATATATATCATCTGGTCTCCTGAATGTGGATTCTGAATACACCTTGATAAATTTGGACTGGTACAGGAGGGTCAAACGATCATTATTAAATAACTGTTGCTCGGCTATTATTGCTCCTCTGTATTGTTGGATGTCTTGTTTGGTAGGCATTCATGTTCGTGCTGATTCTCCCGGACTAAGTAATTCATCAAAAGAAATAATAATCCTATGTTGTGCTAAATCTGGGTAAATGCTATCTTTAAACCACTCTGGGGGTATACTAGTGAAATCTAATTTTACATTTTTCCAGAGAGG